GGAACGCTATGCGGAAGTGTGTTTCGAAGAAATCACTCCTTATGGCGGAGGCTCCGTTATGTTTTGAGCAGCAATTAATTCGACGGAGCGTACGGAGTTAGTTTTCATAGAAAATGGAACATTAAATGCACACCGGTACATAATGGAAGTCCTAATTCCATATGCACAACCCACATTGACTGCACTTGGGGAAGATTCCATTTTTATGGACGACAATGCTCGCCCGCACCGTTCTGGCGACGTGGAAGCGTACATGCAAGAAGTTGGGATCCGTCGTTTAGATTGGCCAGCTCGAAGTCCTGACCTCAATCCAATTGAGCATGTCTGGGATGTTCTAAAGAGACGGGTAAGATCAGTGCAACCTGCTCCACAAAACATCAGGGAGCTAAAAAGAGTCATTGCAGAAGAGTGGGAACGTATTCCTCAAAACGTTATTAAAAACATCCTGGAAAGCATGCCCAGAAGGATTCAAGCTGTGATTTTGGCAAGAGGAGGTCACACTCGTTATTAGGTTTTTACATTTGTAACTTTATTTAATTAAAAAAAGTAAAAAAAATCTTGTCTTTATTGCCGACCACTTCTTATTGTTTGGGCGTGTACATCGGTTTTAAAGAATCCATCGTTTTTTTTTCTTTTAATTGCCCGAATTCACTTCACGCGCATTAATTTACACGATTATAAGTATACAGACTAAGTCAAAGAAATAAATTTCATTTAATTAACTCAAATCGACTTTAGAACGTAAATTTCCTTAGGTGCCCGTTTTTTTTGCAAAAGAGTGTAGTTGGCAATAAAACAGAAACGTAGAAATATGGCGTCACTTATTTTACGTACATATTTAAATATAATAGCAGTTTTGTACATTATAAGCCTTATTGAACTATTATCAATGCAATCCTTACCTTCGTATCTGGAAGGACTTTTTCTCGCAATCAGTAATCGATTTCACAAAACGGTCGTCAGGGTAACTAAATAGTGAATTGCGTTGATGATTTGTATGGTCGATTTGATTACACTTCACGGATCACAAAATTATAAATGATCTGTCACTTACTCGACGTCTAAGAACTAAATTGGGTTAATACATACTGGAATTTGTGTGAGTTTAACGCCAATTCCATGACACTTAGAAATATGGGTTAGGTATATTTAAGAAACTAAACTAATAATAAAGGTAAATTAATAATAATTAATAAAATCAACAATTAACTGTGCTATCAATTATTATT